CCATATCATGGGCATTGCACATTTATTTAGGAAATTTGCAAAAAAATATCACAATTTTTTTTGCGTTGGTAATGTTGTTTTCTGATTTAAATTCCATTAGAATTATTATGTAGAATAATGGTATTTGTTAAATAGAGTTTATGTTGTGGTATTTTTTGGAACATGTGAATCATGAAAAATGACATTTTATACTATTTCTCTATTTATTACTTACTATAATAAGACTTTTGGATCATGCATATTTAATTCTCATATATACTAACACTCATTGGTATTTTTGTTTTGATTTTTTTTTTCTTTGTAGGTTCGCATACATTAGGAGTGACACATTGCAACAACGTATTGTCGCGTTTTGATAACGCAAACGCGACGAGCGAGAACATGGATCCACATTTCCAAACGTTTCTACGAGTTGTTTGCCCAGAGTTTTCTCCATCCTCCAAAACTGCGGAAGCCACATTTGTTCCCAACGATCAAACTTCCTTGATCTTCGACACTGCTTATTACGATGATGCCATCGCGGGACGTGGCAATCTCATTATCGATTCAGAGATTGGAGCTGATCCACGCACACGCCCGTATGTTGAAGCGTTTGCGGCTAATCAAGACCGTTTCTTCAATGCGTTTTCTTCCGCGTTTGTAAAATTATCGTCTTACAAGGTGTTAACAGGGAATAATGGAGTAGTTAGAAGCGTGTGTGACAAGGTCGATTGATGTATATTTATTTATAATCATCAAATGGTAAATCACATAATATTATTATTACTAAAAATGAAACATATATATTATTGATCGATACATACATTGGTGTACCAAGTCGCCTAACATCGAAACCCTCCGACTGAAAACAGAGACATGGAGTAGGGGAAGATCGCCCTACAGAGGACGGAAACTGAGCATGACACAACTTGAAATCGGAGGGGAGAACCACTTAACGACCGGACCAAGATCGACGGGAAGAGGGGAAAAGACCGTCACACCGTAGATCTAACTGGGAAAACCATCTTCTTCAACAGATCCCCCACCCCTAGGAGATATAAATCAAAAGACAGCCAACCATCAGAACTATAGCACATGGCCACTTACCGCAGAACCAAACCGGTAACAACCGAGCCACCACCAACCGGAGCCAAGCATAGCCACCACATGCATCAAGAGAGAAGAATCGACACGAAAGCCTGAAGAGAAGAAGCCGACTAGATCTCGTCGAAAAAACCCCAAAGTCTCCTCCACCCAAACAACCGCAGGACCACCACCGTAGAGCACAAGGCTGCCGAGAACCGCCACCCGGAAGGACATGAAGACCGCATAGATGTCGGAAGAGGAAGCTTCATCACGATGAAGCATCGCTGGCCCCAAAAGGACCTCTCACAAACGCCGGCAAAGCCAGACGCCGGAGAGGCAGATCGCAAGGATTACGGCGGCGGCGCTAGGGCGAACGGTGGCTAGAGAGAATGGAGAGAGAGTTTCTCTCTCTACCTACCCCGTTTTAAAAAAATTGACCTCGGACAGATAAATAATGATCTTGGAGATGGTTTATCGCTACGATACCATTGTAAATCAGCGGATAATGATCTCTGAGACCACAGTTTGGCACCAGGTGGATCATGGTCATTCGGATTTAACCCCGATGTCTTCGGCCGTACTTTGTTTTTTTGCAGTTTTAGTTGGGAGAATGTGTCGCATTATTTTGATATCTATAAGCAGAGTAGAGACAAAGCACATGAGAAGTTTGGATGCACAAATTGCGACTGGAAGATACGCAAGAGTGGACCTTGCAAAATTAACAAAGTCACTAACGCGTTTGATGTTTGTTTTCCTTGGAATTCTTGATTTTTGGGAACAATTTAAATATGTATACCTTTTTTTTTAATTAACACAAATAACAATAAAATAAGTGCCGGTGGTGGTTTAAATAATGCAAATGGTAAACACTAGTGGCATAGACGGAATAAATCTGAGTATA